ACATATATATATATATATATATATATATATATATATATATATATATATATATATATATATATATATATACTGTATATATATTATTAATGTGTATATATAACACAATTACTAAAAATAAGTGAAAAAATTAAATCTAATTTAAAATATGAACAAAAGCTAAATTAGTGTATAAATGACACTTAATTAACACTGGTTACCAGTAACCACACTGTTTCTGTCTTAAGCTTTGGTTTTGTCTCAGATGTTTGTTTCCGACGCTCTCGCAGGTTCAGTGTCTTCTGCCGAGGTTGAATGGAAAAGTGGACGTGCTTGTTTTCAATCCGCCGTACGTCGTCACTCCATCAGACGAGGTGAACGAGTGAATGTGAGGAAAACATTCCCAACAGCTCCAGAAATTATGCAGAAAGCAAAAATATCAGTCTGTCATGACACAGTAATAGTAATGCTGCATAGTTAAACCAGGGTTTATAAAGCAGATAGTTCCGGTGCTTGGCTCTGATTGGCTGAGCCGCATTCGAAGCTGTTGTAAATGACGCTACAAAGTAACACACACCTTTGTTTACGTTTGTGTGTTGCTCGGCAACCACTTTGTAGCAACCACAACTGTTTCTGAGGAGCTACATTGTTTGGTGGAAGAATACTGTGTTTATTAATATCATTACACTTTATTTGCTCCGTTTTATTTTGTGAAACCTTACTACGTATATGGAATAACCGTTTTATAAAAGCAGTAACCCCCGTGAAGCCGTGGTTTACAGTGAATTAACCTAACAACGCCCCTTAGCTGTTATAAATTCACTGTAAACCTCGGCTTCACGGGGGTTACTGCTTTATTTTGTAATGAAAACTAAAGCCATAACCAAAAAACAAACAAACAAACAAACAGACAAAAATTGTAAAATAAACAATAAATGAGATTTAAAAAAAATAATAATAAAAAAATATTTTATTTCATAAAATGTTTTTAATCAATTATGCTTTGTAATTGACATATTTTTAAAAAATGAAATAAAAACTCATTCAGAATATGAATAAATCTTAACATCTAATCTGAAGCTAATATCAGGACCACTCATAACTTATTTATGTGCTTTTTTATTAGATTTTATAGACATATTAATTTATTTTATTTAAAACAAGTTTATTTTTATTAATTAATTTATTAATATATATATATATATATACGGAAGGGGATTAGGGCCAAGCAATAATAAAAAAATTGTTAAAAGTCGTTAAATTTAGAGAAAAAAGTCTAAATAAAATGTTGAGAATAAACTCATTCAATTGTGAGAAAGAGCTTGTTAAATTTCGAGAATAAACACTCGTGTCATGTTCATTTCATCTCGTGCACGTGTTATTTAGAGTCTGTAGTGAGGTTATACGAGTTTTTCTGGATACATAACGACTTTATTCTCTAAATTTAATGAGTTTAATCTCAACGCCAAAAATCATTAGGATATTAAGTAAAGATCATGTTCCATGAAGATATTTTGTAAATCTCCTACCGTAAATATATCAAAACTTGGTAACATGCATTGCTAAGAACTTCATCTGAACAACTTTAAAGAAGATTTTCTCAATATTTAGATTTTTTTGCACCCTCAGATTCCAGATTTTCAAATATTGTCCGATCCTAACAAACCATACATCAATGGAAAGATTATTTATGCAATGATTTTCAAAAAAAGACCCTTATGACTGGTTTTGTGGTCTAGGGTCACTGCATGCATCAGTATCGGCGCAGGTTTTGATCTGGACTGGTGTTTGTGTTGTCTAGAAGAGATCGTGGAGGTGTTGAGTAAATCAGGACTGAACGGAGAGCTGTGCTTGACTCGTCAGGCTGGACACGAGAGACTCTCTATACTGCGCTTCAGTAAATCCTGACAGTTGTTACACAAACCCAGCTGATGTTTCCATAAAGTCTGCTGGAGCTCAACAACTGGGTCACTAGAAGCTAGTTAGTGAGCAGCACGTGTTCACTAGCGAGGGTTAAACGCTCTTACTGACCCGCACTGAGATCCCGAGCGCATGCCGCTGTCATCAATCACTATATTAAACATGATCTTTTTAGTCTTGGTTGTTGTTGTTTTTTTCCATAAAAGGTCAATTTTACACAAACTGAGAGAAGAGTCAACATCAACTAATATAACTAAAATAAAAAAGGGGAAAAAACTTTAGAATAATTGTATGTTTTATTCAGTCATAAGATGGAAATATATATATATATATATACAGTATATCATCTTTTTCTTATAAAATGTAAAAAGAGATACTTTTAATATTTTTATTTCATGTTTTAGTAGTGGTTTTGTTGGTTTTAAAGTGTTTTAAAGTTGAAAGAAAACACACAGTTAGTAAATGAATAGAGTGCAAGTCTAAAAGGGGCAAGTTTATTTTAATTTTTTTTTATAAAGAATAGAATTAGAATAGAGTGCTAGAGTTAGAGGGTCAAATAAAGATGGAAGAGATGCATTGATTCTTGGAGATGGTTAAGGACTTGACTTTTAGTCTTGGTTGCTTTTAGTCATGTTTTTCATAAAAGGTCGATTTTACACAAACAGAGAGAAGAGTCAACATCAACTAAAATAACTCAAATAAAAAGAAAACTTTAGAATAATTGTATGTTTTATCCAGTCATAATAAAGATGGAAATATATATATTTTTTTGTTCTTATAAAATGAAAAAAAAGAGATACTTTTAATATTTAGATTATTTTATTTAGATTTTTACTTCACGTTTTAGTAGTGTTTTTGTTGGTTTTAAAGTGTCAGCATAAACTAAAATAACAACAAAAAAATAAAAAAAACTGAACAAAAAGGGAAAAAATAACACCAGTTATTCATGTTGTTCCCATCATACTTTAATATGACTGGAAGATTCTTCCAAATATGAAGTTAAATGTGTGTTTTTGTTGGTGTTTTAAATGTCTATATAGTTTTTATTTCAATTTTGTATTTTTTTTTAGATTAAACAATTTTAAAAAGATATTTTAGCGTTTTTGAGTTAAGTCTGTTCTTCTCACCAAGGCTGCACTCATTTGATCAAAACTACAGTAAAAATTGAAATTTTGGGAAATACAATTTGCTGTATTTTTGATTCACTCAATTAAATAATATACTGTATATATATATATATATATTCCAAAAACTTTGAACTGAACTTTTTTCAAAACTTGAATGAATCTTTGTTTAAGCCTTAAATTGAAAGTCGGTATATTGAGAGATGTGAATAATAATATTTGCATTAGATTATTAATAAGGGGATGATACAGTGACGCTTTCAGATTGTTGTAGATAAATGCTGACGTCTGAACAGAAGTATATGCAAATTAATAAATTAATAACCTCAAGAGCAGGTCTGTATTTAAAGAAAATAAACAGGATTTCTGGAACAAAGCAGCGAGTGATTAAATGATTATGCATTGATGAGATGATATACAATCTTTGCAAATCAAAACCATTTATATTGGTTTACGTTGTAATATTTAGTTTTTGTGTTTAGTCGCATCTCAAGAGGCATTATATTATATTTCTGTAATGCACTTTGTGTTCAGGATTCTGCTTGATAAACGAGCTCAGGGGCTTGTGTACTGCATGTTTAATAAAACCTCTATAGACCTAATATTCATAAACGATGAACAATGTAATGATAAAAACGCAGAATAAATAATCTCTCCATTGATGTATGGTTTGTTAGGATCGGACAATATTTGAAAATCTGGAATCTGAGGGTGCAAAAAAATCTAAATATTGAGAAAATCATCTTTAAAGTTGTTCAGATGAAGTTCTTAGCAATGCATATTACTAATCAAACATTAAGTTTTGATATATTTACGGTAGGACATTTACAAAATATCTTCATGGAACATGATCTTTACTTAATATCCTAATGATTTTTGGCATAAAAGAGAAATGTATAATTGTGACCCATACAATGTATTGTTGGCTATTGCTACAAATATCCCCCAGCGACTCAACACTGCTTTTGTGCTGCAGAGACACATATTAAGTAAACAATTATTTTGGATGCGATTAATCATTTATATATATTTATATTACATTACGCTGGATTTTTAAATGGCAATGCTTTATTTCGAGCTGCTCATTCAAAGAAATGATAATTAAGACTTTGTTATACCATTTATTATATTCAAGACTTGAAACTGATATATTTATATTTTATGTAGATATATTTGTATCATTATTAACCAGACGCTTCTTATATGAGTCCGGATATCCTCGTACAGATCAGACTCCAGCATCAGCACCTGAGAGACACACCTGAGAACTGATCCGGATCACTGAGTCAAACACACAACTGAATCAGTGAATCAGTGAATCAGTGAATCAGTGAATCAGTCCTGCTTTTGAATCAGTTCATTACAACAAAGCAGCTGGTTTGAGTTACTCCATCTGATCTGATTTCAGCGTCTCAGGATTTCCAGACTGTTCCTCACAAAAACTGAAAAGACTTCAGAACATTTAGAAAATATATTTTAAATATATAAATATATTTTTTGAATTTTTTTTTTGAAAAGAATAATTATAATAATTTTTGTAAAATATATTTAATATTTATTATTTTTAATACACATACACACACACACACACACATACATAATTTATATATATATATATATAATAATTGACATTAAATATTTAATATTTCTAACATTTTATTTTTTTTATTTTAAGCTAATTTTTTAACTAACAAATTTAATAATATAATATATAAACATCTTAAATCTTAAAAATGTAACTATTTGACAAATATATATATATATATATATAAAGCATAAAATCTTGTTTGAAAATCTTCCCTTTTTTCCTGAAAGAAATTAATACTTTTATTCGGCGAGGATGTGTTAAATTGATAAAAATGATAGAAAAGACTTCTATTGTTAGGATATATTTCTATTTTGAATAAATGCTGCTCTTTTTAACTTTTTGTGTTCATCAAAGAGTCCTATCGCAGGTTTCAAAAATATTTTAAATTGGAATAATATTTCACAATTTTACTGTTTTTTCTTTTCTGTATTTTTGACTAATTTAATGCAGCCTTGGTGAGCAGAAGAGACTTCTTTAAAAACATTACAAATCCTCCTGTTCACAAACTTTTGAACGGCAGTGTATATACATAACAAAGTTACGTTATAGAATGATTTATTAAAAAATATGATTCTTTTTTGCCTTGGTGTTTGAACAAAAATAAAGTCAATAATTTCAAAACATTATTATAAAAATAAATAAACAAGTAAATGAGGACTCTCTGACTGAACCCCTTTAATAGAGTTGTTTTCTTGTACAGCATGTCGTTAAATCAGCAGCTGTGTTATTATTTTCCGATCAAATTTCATCCGGTGTGAATTTGCCTCAAGGATCAACATGCCAGAAACCAGGCATTATCAGATCAAACGGATGATTTCCACAGAACTGCTCTCACCTGACACTCGGAGTCACCGAAGTGGCAGCTAAACTCCAGGCCCTTCGCTCCCTCTGTAGTCAACATCAGCCCTGCGTGTATAACACCCCTGCGACGCAACACCAGAGATGACTGACTGATGATAACAACGATCAGAACATCACGCTCGCTTCTCTTCCAGTTCTCATGTTCTTTCCAAGATCAAATTCACACGTCAATCACTCAAACGCAGGAACCTGATTCTTACACACAGCGAATGACTTCTGAAGAAGTTCTGAAGTACAGCGCATGAGATCTGTGTACGGTTTTGATATTTTTATGGTGCTTGAATACTGAAATTACATGGAAAGTCTTCAAAATATCGGCATTTGTTACACAGAAATCAGTCAGTCAGTCATACAGGGGTATAACAACAAAGGCGATAAAATTATGACAATTATGTTTTTTAATGGTTTATAAATATCTTTTATAGTAATTATATATATATATATGTATACACACACACACACAGTATCTCACAGAAGTGAGTACACCCCTCACATTTGTGTAAATATTTGATTATATCTTTTCATGTGACAACACTGAAGAAATGACACTTTGCTACAATGTGAAGTAGTGAATGTAACTCAACACACAGCCATTAATGTCTAAACCGCTGGCCACAAAAGTGAGTACACCCCTAAGTGAAAATGTCCAACTTGGGCCCAAAGTGTCAGTATTTTGTGCGCCCACCATTATTTTCCAGCACTGCCTTAACCCTCTTGGGCATTACAGCTTCACAGGTTGCCACTGGAGTCCGCTTCCAATAAGTCTTTCATGCAACTAGTTAGTTTGTTGAGCATGCATTCGTTGTTTCTATAACGTTAGGTGTAATTGCTGACTTGCGTGATTTCTGATGAACAGCTGGATACAGTGGGGAACCTGTGGTGTTCTGATCGTGAATGAGTGATGGACAGAAGACCAGAGTGTGCTTTCCACCACAAACCACGTGCACTGACTCATAATTCACATGCTACATGTTCGATTCGCGAAATGATTCATTCTTTTGACTCGGTTCTTTTTATGTTTTGGTTAAACCGAATCGCAAAATGAGGTGGGATCATACAACCAGCATTATTTCATACAATATGTGTACTTTAAACAATAACATACTGATAAACAGCAGTATTTAATAACTATTTCATTTGAACTGAAGCGAACTGTTCGAATGAATCGATTCGCTCGAAGTGAATCAAACTTCTTGATGCTACACTTCCCAAACACGTTCCACAAAAAGGGAATTGTTATAATATAGAGTTTGAGAGTTTAAGCTTTTTCATATACTCTTCAAGTTGAAGATTGACGTTTCATCAACTGGAGAAAAAAAAAAAGACTTTATACTTGTATGGTATTGCTTATGATTTTAAATTAGTTATAATAATGCAACAGTTGTACATCCTGTAGGTGTACTTTAATGTTTGCATTTTTTTTTTTTTTTACTTGCCTAGAAAATTCTTCTTGATTTTAGAATTGTTTGATATTTTGGCTGAAAACAAGACACAAAAAAATCTAAGTAAGAAAAGCATTTTTTGCAGTGTAGTAACGCTTGGCAGATAAACATGAACAGGGAACATGTACGTTTCTTGCTTTTTATTTGATAAACATGATGCTGTGAACCATTAAACTCTCAAAGGACACAAAACACACCAGGATGACAACATCTATTTAAAATCCCAAGAATAAATATTGATCCGATGTCAAGAATAAGTTAATTAAGCACTGATTTGATGATGATAAAATCACAGCAGAGGCAGATCCGGGCTGCTGAGAAGCTCCTGAGCAACATCAGAGTCTCTAAGAGCGAAGAAAGTCACTCCAGAGCTGTACGCCGCGGGAATCACGAGATGCGTCGTCTTCGGACGCTCTTCCTCGCTGATCATCTGTCTGACCTGATCTATAAACGACAGAAACTCACGGTCAGCTCAGTGTATTCGGCTGGAGCATAATATCAAGTCATTACATGAACAGAGGGTCGCACCCTCCACGTTTAATGTTTTCCAGCGCAGGTCGGGATGCTGATCTGAGATCTGTGATAGATGAGCGTCCGGCGTCAGTCTCTTCAGGACGTCTTCACGGCGAACGAGCAGCACAGACTCGCTGCACAGACGCTCGTGAACCTCCTCTTCACTCACTGAGGACAAAATAACAAGCTTAGCATGCAAGAAGAAACTAGAAATTTCATTCGCGTGTGTGTGTGTGTGTGTGTGTGTGTGTGCGCGCGTGTGTGAGAGAGTGAGTGTGTGCATGTGTGTGAGTGTGAGTGAGAGAGTGCGTGAGAGTGAGTGTGTGTGCATGTGTGTGAGAGTGAGTGTGTGTGTGTGAGTGTGAGTGTGTGTGTGTGTGTGTGTGAGAGTGAGTGTGTGTGCATGTGTGTGAGAGTGAGTGTGTGTGTGTGTGTGTGAGAGTGAGTGTGTGTGTGTGTGTGTGTGTGTGTGAGAGT